GTCAGACTTAACGACCGGATTATACTTTGTATTGCAGCACTGGACATGAAGCTACTACAGATTGTACATTGTTTGCATGATGCACTGTGTGCCTGTATTGTTTTCATAGTATTAACACACGGCGGTGTGTACACCACTGAGGGCTGAGCCAGTCATATAATCCATTACTTGCTGTGTTAAGAGTGTAACTGTGAAGTCAGTGTAGGACTCCTCTTGTATGCATGTTTTTGTCAACACACAAACGCACAAATCTCTTGGGTCTAGAGAATCATAGAAATGGACACAGAAACCGAGTGTTTAAAGGTCAGCTGGTGGGTGGCAGAGCTGCAAACAGTGGAATAGTTCTTTAAACAAAACATGTCTCCATCCGCCGGTCCTAGTATGCTCTTGTTAGCCTCTTTGTCACTGATCCCAAACAATAAGAGTACTAATGCACGTGAGGTGTTTGTTTTGGAGAAAAGCGAGGCATTTGTTTGCATAATGATTGTAGCTGCAGGTGTTCAGCTACTACAGAGTATCTGCTTCTTTATGCAAATTGGACACCCAATTGTGGTGAGTACAGGTCACTGAACTGGTTGTTCAACAGATGGGAGTGCCTCACGCTTGTTTGTTGTACAGCTTGTACTTTGATACACTACAAAAACACAAAAAGCTGAGCATTCAGAGATGTTTGAAGCATAAAGCTTTTGGCTCACAGGGTTAGGCTCACAATATTGCTTTAGCATTTTCATTCAAAAGCTACAGCACAAAAAACCACAACAGTGTCTATTGAAAGCTAATATAAGTATCAAAATGTTTGATAGCAGCTCTTTGAAAAGGGTTATATGCATGTTCTTGTTCCCCCAGGACCCCAGGTTTAACGCTGAGGTCGACCATATCACAGGTTACAAAACCCAAAGTATCCTTTGTCTGCCTATCAAGAACCACAGAGACGAGGTGAGATGCCATGACCAATATGATTTGTTATGGTTTGTTTTAAACCTTACGTTACCTTTACATAGATAAGATGTTTAAATTCTAGTGGAGCTTCTTGTCCAGTATGTGCTGGCTATTACAGCAATCAAATCTGAGATCTCGAATTATCTGCTTGAGAAAGCGTTTCTTTTTTGACAGCCTTTTCTTTTTTTCCTCCAGGGTACTAGCAATAAGACTCTCCACACACAGCTTAGCAGTTTGGCAGAGTTTACTGTACTTATTCTTTTAAAAGGCACATTCTTTTATTCTTTTTAATTCTTTTTAATTCTTTTAGAGAAGCCCCTTACTGGGCATGCATCTGGACGATGATTGAGCATGCATCAAGAGATCTTTGAGAGAAGCTAAAGATAATTCATGCATTATGACATGACTTGTGATTTGCAGTTGTGTGAGCCTCTGCAGCCATTAAAACATTACATAGATTTGTGCCCCCACTCTCCATTTAAAAAGAACCTTGATATGTCTTATCCAAACCAAACTTTCAGTTTTCCTGTTAGTACTTGAACTTTCAATAACATTAATTAGCAGATAATTTAAATGTAATATGAATGAAGTATGCTCACATCAGTGCACATTCAGACTGATGATGTTTCCCTTCTTATTGCAATACTAGTTTAATATGTTGTTTTGCTAAGATTTGCTGGTTTTCACTTAACATTTTCATTTAATTTATCGCAGGTAGTTGGAGTGGCTCAGGCTATAAACAAGAAATGCGGGGACGGTGGAGCCTTCACTGAGCAGGATGAAAAGGTTACATCATAGTTCCACCTAAAATAACACTTTTTTCCATTTAAAAACATTTGAATTTTCAGCAAGACATCATCAAAGTGTGTTACTTTGTACTTGTGTTGGACAATATGACTTATATCTGTTAAAATATAGCTGCAGATTTTAAGAAGCCATCCTTTAATAAAATCCTTCTTTCTCCATATTTCCCTGCTCATGTCATCCTCTCTTTGCTCTCTAATTTGCTAATTTATCTTTTTGCGTACATTTTTCCCTTTATTTTTCCTCTCTTTCTGGTACTCAGATGTTGCTCTGTTTCTTTCCAACAGGACTTCTCAGCTTATTTGGCGTTTTCAGGCATCGTACTACACAACGCACAGCTGTACGAGACGTCGCAGCTGGAAAACAGACGCAATCAGGTGGGTGCGAATGTGTTTTTCTGAAGGTTAGCGTGAACATACAGTCACGCTCAGATCCATAAATGATGTTTATGTATGTGTATGTGTTTGTAGGTGTTGCTGGACCTGGCCAGTCTGATCTTTGAGGAGCAGCAGTGTCTGGAGGTTTTACTGAGAAAGATTGCAGGAACCATCCTGTCCTTCATGCAGGCCCAAGCTTGTACCGTCTTCATCGCTGACGAGGATGCAATGGTCAGCACACACACACTAACACACATGCTCGCAACATGCTAATGTTTCTGTACTTGGTGTGCAAAATCTATTTTCAAAGAATGCAAACTGAGGTGATATGATTTACTGGCTAAATGGATGTTTGATTTGTACGATAATGGTTGTTTGAATGCAGCGCATTAAGAGCTCAGGGCAGGAAGATTTTGATTTGATGTCATTTAAAGTGAGGTTACAAAAAAGCAGCACCTCAATGAGTTCATGTGTTTCATTACAAGACATGGTTGATATCTTGTAGACAGGTCATATATAATATGTGTAAATTATTTTAGTTGGTTACATTTTTTATTATAACTGGACATTTTGTGTGTGATAGATTCTGGCAAATATATTGGCTGTGCGTGTCTGACAAAGAAGAAATATCAGAAGATATATTGGAATATTGGATTTTTTTAATTCGTTTTAAAAATCCTATTGTAGTTAGACTCTAGAACTTGAGCTATTGGTTTGAGTGATTTGAATCTTTCTAGTGTCAGTTACTAGATCACAGAGATTTCAAACTCCCACATAAAGTGTTTAATGATAGATTTATCAGCATGTAAAACTTGCTGCTTTCTGACTTTTCTTTGCTCTTGCCTTCTGGTTTTATGTGTAGTTCAAATAGACATACATTGAACTGATGCTGCAGAATGCCTTCTTATGATATAAACTTAGTGCAATAAAAAGTGTGTTTCATGGTAATTAGAAAACAATTTAGTACATGTCCCATATTTACTGTCAGAGAGAAAATACAATCTGATAAGGCAGGAAAAATTTCATGAATGATTCAGTGGCACAAAGAAAGACCAAGTGAACATTTCTTAGTGACACTCTGTGCAAACATTAAACTACAGTACACAGCCTCCAGAGAATAAAGTCAAAATTAAAAAATGACAAATGCACCAAACAGGAAAGTGAAGAGAAGCGATTTGGAGGAAGAATACACTTACAGTATAGTGAGATATTAAATAAATAATAAGCTTTACTATCAAGTACAAACACATTGTAAACTTGTTGTTTGTTGTTTGCTATATTCCTTAAAATAACGGGACATTTTCAGTTCTGCTTTGTGTCTAACTGTAGATGACAAAACAAGTTAAGGTTATAAAACAAGGATTTACAACAGCAAAGTGTGATTCTATTTAGAGCAGGGCGATATGACCAAAAATATTTATCACGATATACATTTGGAAATTTGCGATAACGATATAACTGACGATATAATTGACACTAGACAAAATACTTTACAACTCCACAACTTTATTAGTGCAAAAAAACCACTTAAACAAGCAGCTGTTTTTTAAGTGCATTAAAGTTATATAAAAATGTAACAGTGCAAATTCCTTGCTGACAGTTTAACCAAAGGCATTTCCAGTGGAAATTGGCCGACATATCCTCAGCATAACCATGTATAATATCCACAAAACTTAAAAAGAGGTTATACACACAATACGGTAATATTATGTTGAAGCTTAGCAAAGTTGTACTGAAACATTTGACAGATTTTCGAGCGCCGTGTACATAAAATCATTTAGAGGTCAGTAAACACAACCACAATTCATACATAAGGCACACAGGATTATAAGGGGCACTGTCGATTTTCAGAAAAATCAAAGGATCGATTTTAAGTGTGCCGTATTTTCCAAACAGCACGGAAATAATGACGCCCCGCTGGCATGCTCTACCAAAAATAGTGCTTTGTTGTGTATCTGACGGACGAAAGCTAAACCAGTCCCACACCACTGAAGTTGCAGCATTTTTACAAACCAGTTCTGGTTCATCTGTTTCATTCAACAATCCGCTTTCACCCTTCTCATTCTCCGTCGCCGACGTGCTTTTTCTGCCATGTGCGTATGAAAACAAAGGCATTGTGCATGTGCGTTTTACCCACATTCTATCACGATATTTCATTTTCTTATTGTTGCCCAACATTATACCGGTATTACCGTGAATGGTATGATATGGCACAGCGCTAATTCTATTTTAATTGTTAATTCCAGCAAGCAGCATGTCAGAGTAGATTTTAAGAAGGACAAATCATATTTTATATATTTTATATCTTTTTAAAGATATATCTGGTACTAAATAGCTGTTTCAAAATAGTTAGATTTCAAAATTGGCTATTTTGACTTCCTTGTTTTAAAGACTCACAGTGTCAAGCTTTCAAATGGAAATCTGTTGCACTGCATTCTCCATTGTTTTGTTTTTTTTGGCTCCTTGTGATCATTCTGGTGTTAGAAATATCTCTTATTACCTTCCATGACCTGGGATTATTAGTTACTTTACATTTTTTTGTGATCTTTAGACAGTTTGGTGCCTTTCTTCAGGATTTTGTCTGTGCACTACTTTGTAGTGTGGTGACGGTTTTATTTTTTCACCTTATTCCCTTACCTTTTCTTCAACAAAAGATATCCACCTGGTGTAACAAATGCCTGATTACCTGAAGTGTTGCTAAGTCAAGCTTTGAGATAGGACTGGCCTAAAATTCATATCGCGATATAATTTGAAGCACGTGCGGTAACGATATATATCACAATATATTCTTTTCTTCTGTATAACATATTTTCCACACTATAAGGCACACTTAAAATCCTTTAATTTTCTCAAAAATCGAGAGTGTGCCTTATGTATGAATTCTGGTTGTGCTTACTGACCTTCAGGTCCCAAAGTCAAACAAACACTAAGAGTTAAAAACGGTCTAAATTCTTTCATCTTTAATTAAATCATCAGCATTGCTGCTTTATCGAGTGTAACAATTAAGTTTAACATCCAGGCATCCATGAAAACAGAATTTATTAAATTTAACAGAGTTAGAGGTTAACAGGAAGTTAGCTCGCTAGTTT